GTCGCTGTCGCTGTCGCTGTCGCTGTCGCTGTCGCTGTCGTTGTCGTTGTCGTTGTGGTTTGTTGTCGTCGTTGTTGTTGTTGTTGTTGTTGTTGTTGTTGTTGTTGTTGTTGCTGCTGCTGCTGCTGGTGTTGTTGTTGTTGTTGGTGGTGGTGGTGGTGGCGGTGGTGGTGGTGGTGGTGGCGGCGGCGGCGGTGGTGGTGGTTCTAGTTGGCATTGCTGTGGGCACTGCCGATTATGTCAAGCACGTTTACCATTGTCATTGTCATTATTGCTTCTGCTGCTGCTGCTGCTGCTGCCGCTGCTGCTGCTGCTGCTGCTGCTGCTCCTGCTCCGATTCCTGATCCGGTTCCTGATCCTGGTGCTGCTTGTGGTGGTGGTAGTAGGGACGTAGCTGTCGCAGTCGCCGTTGCCTTTGTTTTGATGTTGATTTCAGTACTATCACTGGAAGTTTTGGTACTATCATTGGAAGCAGCAATGGTAATCGTCGTTCTGAGAGATGAACTCCAGAGATTTCCAGGTCCTGCAGGTACGATCTGTGGCCGCAAGGGTGCGGTGTGGACTTTGGGGGTTCTGGTTTGGGGCTTCTGCCTGCGCCTTAGCCCTAAGCCTTGAGGATGTGTGTGTGTGTGTGGGCGCTGGGTGCCATATTTGTGCCACCGACACACATTGCACCGTGACACCATCTCGAGTTCAGCCAAACCCTAAACCCTAAACCCTAAACCCTAAACCCCTAACCCAAAGGCTTCAAGCCTAAGTTACTATGCTACAAGAAGCAACAGGCGCGCCATGTCCTGTGGAGGGCAGCTGAAGTCTGCAGCACAGCGTGCCCGAGCGCTCGAACCGATTCTCGCTGCAACTTCGGTCTACCCATAGGCCCTAAAGTAGTTCCTTTTTGGGGTTCATATATCGAATCCTATAAGGTAATCCCAAAAAGGAACTACTATGGGGCCTCTGGGTACAGTGTAGGATCGGTTTAGGGTTTCGGGTTCAGGGTTTAGGGGATCTAGCAAATACATCATGCTATTCGTGGGTTTGCCTTAGTACCTTGCCTTATGGCTTTACCGTTTGCTTGTGTCTATTTTGGCTCTATCACGTCGTGTAGCTCTGGGTATCACCAGGAAAGTGCAGGCGTTCAAGGTTTCTGTTTCAACGGCCCGAAGCATGCCGCGTAATAAAGAGGTATAATAATTACCTAAACTATTTTGGGGGGCTCCTTACTCTAGTTATAGTATAATATGCCCCAAGGCCCTATTACCACTATCATCATCATATTTTTATCATTATTCTTGTTCGTATTGTCATTATTATTAAGGCCCCTACATTAGTTTACGCTTGGGCTGAAGAGCCTGGAGGTTGTAGGTCAGGTTCGCTGAAGGCCCAAGGCGCTCCTGCCTGTCAGGGTGGTCGGGTGTAGGGGTTGGGGTTTAGAGGGTTTAGAGGGTTTAGGGGATTTAGGGGGTTTAGAGTTTAGAGGGTTTAGAGGGTTTAGGGGTTCATGGTTTAGGGATTAGATGTTTAGGGATTAGAGTTTAGTTTTTTTTTTTTTTTGTGAGTTCTCTTTAAATGCTGTGCCCGGTCAACTGGGCACTATGACAACTTGACTCCTCTCTAGCCCGAGATGTTTCATGAGGACACTTAAGAGGTTAACCAGCATGACATAGCATGACGAAAGCTAGGTTTGGGCCTATTCGCAGTTGAACAGGTTTGTCTATATACTGCCACTCAGCTCAATACCGTGATCGGAGTATAAGTCGATTGCATCAGCCGTAGTAGTTTGCACGAAATGCAGTTTAGGCAGACAGCTTTGACAGAATCGCAAGGTCTTCGGGGACTGATGACAGTGATAGCAGTGATATTGCATCAGCACTGGTCGTTGCGAAGTTACTTCTAAAGTTGACCTCGTGCACTCGTAGACAAGCCAGCCTGCAACTAAGGGATGTGCCTCGACTGCACGCCACTACCGACCTGTGGGCAGCACAAAGGGGCTGCCGATCCGGCTTAGAGGTCAAGGCAAACCTTCTGAAGCCCTAAAACCCAATCCCTACACACCTTCTGAAGCCCCAAGCCAGTAATCTCTGTGTCAAAGCCCTAATTTGTCTTGGGGCTTACAGTTGAGGTTGAGGGCCTCCCATTCACGGTTTAGCTGGGTGGTGATGAGGCCGCATGCAACAGCCAGTGGATAGGGTTTAGGGTTTAGGGTGTATGACAAAGCCCGGTTTCAGTTGTTACAGTGCAAGGGTTGCAGGCTTGTGTCGGAGTGTTTAGGGTTGGGGTCTTTATACCTATAGTCTCCATTGTAGTTCCTTTTTTTGGGTTTAACCAAGTCTATACTTAGGTTCCTATAAGGTAACCCCCAAAAGGAACTACAATGGAGACCATAGGTACTTTATATCATAACATACGGCTGATGGACAAAATCCTGCATGACCTTATATACCTAAACTATGGGATTTATGGTACTATACTATATTTGGGTCATGCAGAATTCTGTCCATCAACAGTATGATTGGGTAATTCCTCTGGCCCGACCCGAAAGTCGGTAACTTGAGCTGGGACTCGGCAACTGCCCCTAAGGATCCCTTTAAGGGTTCCTTTTCGGGAGTCTTTAAAGGAGCCCTTATGGGTCCACGGCCCCAAAAAGTATAGGGTTTAGGGTATGGGGTGTTGAGGCCAGGGTGTGAATCAGTCCTAATTGGCCCATGTACCCAAATAGTACAGGGGTAATTCTCTAATTTAGGGTACTGTTAAGGGTCGTTTTTGTAAAGGTGCCGGCCTTTTTTGGTTGTCATAGTAAGGACCCTAATTTTGAGAACCACCCCTAAACCGTGGTCTTCGAGCTGTCCCTATACAGATACTTTGGGGCCAAAGTATATACTGCTTTCGGTACATGGACCCTTAAACTACTGGACTCTGCTGAGGTACTTCCATCAGAGAAGTTGCAGCTGGCCCATCTCCGCTCTGCTCTCGCAGAAAAGCAGCTGAGGTGCCTGGAATAACTTGAGGTTTTTTCTCTGAGCCCAAATAACCCCTAATCCCCAAACCGTTCTTCCCAAGACTGCATGGAGAGTATTGAGTTTGGGCTATGGGCTTTGGGGGTGACCTCGGAAGTTTCAGGCTTTGCAACCTTTGTGCGTTTCATCTTCGATCTGTACCCTAAACCCTAAACCCTAAACCCTAAACCCTAAACCCTGTAGTCAACGTTCTTGTGAAACCCGAAGGGTCCATGTACCCAAACAGTATATACTTTGGCCCCCCAGTACCCAAATAGGGACTACTTTTAAGGCCAAAGTATATCTATTTGGGTACATGGACCCCTAAGGAAACAGATAGCCAACAATACCTGCTTGCAGTGCCTAAGCCGCAGACACTACTCCGACAAGCAAGCCCACCGAATATCCAAAGCCCTTAATTTTGATAGGCCACAGTGAGCTTCTAAGCTTCTGCCTGCAATAAGGCTTCTCTGCCTTTTAGATCAGCTACCTGTGTATATACTGGGCCACTGCGTTACAGTTTTCATACACCGTATATCGGGCCCGGGAACCAGCATCCACGATATAGATACCTTCGTTTCTAATCATAACCCACCGTGACCGTTCCAGGTTCGAGCGCTGGCTGTGCCTTAGCTTCGAGATTGCTTGGGCGGCTGCTTCGCGATTCGGGACTCCGGTACGCTGTGTGTGTTTTTGTCGAGGGTTGTGGGTTTGGAGTCGAGGTTTTTGTGGAGTAGGATTCTGAGGCGAAGGAAGTCCGTGTTGGCGTGGGCGCAAAGCAGTGGATTTATGCATTCCACGAAGCCAGAAGCGAATCTTCGTGTAGACCGCTTCAGCGAGACGGTGACTTCGGCTGGAGCTGTATCTATAATCGTTCCTCTCAGTCGATCTCTCTGACTCCGTTTGTTCGTCTCTCTGTCTCTCTCCCTCGCTCTCTCTCGCTTGTTTTGTTCGACATACATATATATATATATATATACATACACACGTAGTGGTATGCACATATCTGTACGCATAACTAGCCATGTATATATATATATACACACACATACGTACATACATACATACACGTCGATCCAGAGAGAGAGAGAGAGAAAGAAAGAAAGAGAGAGAGAGAGAGAGACCAATGCGATGGCAATAGAAATCCCAGAAAGGGAAAGCGATCCTAGTAACAGTTTATTGGAACACTAGACATCTTTGCGTTTATAGCATCTAGGACCCTGACAAATTACTGCCTAACGCGACTGTGCCGGTTGCGGCCTAAAGCTTAGTTTTGATGTCTCACCAGCCGGTTTGCTGGTCTGTCCTCTTGCATCCTATTCGGACGCGTAACCCTAAACCTCCTAAACTGAACTTAAACCTCGTCACCCCCTCCGAAAGACTCCTAAAGCCCGCAAAACCCGATACAAAGAGCAATACCACCCTATTTGACAAGCCTTTCAAAACATCCGTGCAAATGCCCACATTTTTCCCGAAGCCTGCACCCCTAAACCCTAAACCCTAAACCCTAAACCCTAAACCCCTTAAGGCTCGAAGGAGTGCCTTGCTCAGTCAAGACGCCGAGGTCGTCACTAAGCTGCGGCGCTTCGGAAACCGAGGCAGGGAGGCCCTTTTAAAGAGGCCAAAAGAACTAGGGGTTTAGGGTTTAAGGTTTAGGGTTTAGGGTTTAGGGTTTAGGGTCTAGGGTCTAGGGTCTAGGGTCTAGGGTTTAGGGTAGGGTTTAGGCCTTGAGAACTAGACTAAGGTTCTTCGTACAGGGGCCTTCATAGTTAGAATAGGGTGCCCTTTAAAGGGCCTCAAAAGTTTGAATAGGGTTCCTTTTGAAATTAGACTATAGGGTTTGTGTTGCAGGGGACTTAATGGTTAAGCTAGGGTTCCTTTCAGGTTTTTATAATAGGCTCGAAAGGGTTCTCCAATTTTGGGGGTTTGAGGGGTTTGATATGATAGAGTTGAGTACGGGGGCCTCAGTACTGCAAATGGGGCTGCAACAAGGTTGCCCTTGAAGTTTTCGTTAAAAAGGTTCTATCCGGGTTTCTGCGCGGCGTTGATATAGGAGTCGAGACATTTTCCATCGCATGCGACATTCGCAGTCGTATCGTAGTATTAGTATGAGTATGAGTATTAGTCCGCGTAGTAGTCGTGGTAGTAGTAGTAGTAGTAGTAGTAGTAGTAGTAGTAGTAGTAGTATAGTTGGCGCGTATTAGTGCTAGTACTAGTACCGGTACTCCACCACGACCTCGACCTCGACAACGACAACAACTACAACAGCAGCAACAACAGCTACATCAACATCAAGATTATCAGCAGCAGCAACAACAGCAACAACAACAGCAACAGCAGCAATAACAACAGCAACAGTCGCATTAGCATCAGCATCAGCAGGAGCAACAGCAGCAGCTACAACAACACGAGTCCAACAAATTAGGGCGAATACTTCGACACGACACTACCTTGCACCCTGTAGCCCTAAACTCTAAATCACAACCCCAAAACCCGAGAACAGAAGGGTCGTGCCTGACAAATTCAACATTCGTGCTCAGAGCTCTTGACAGATCCCTGTAAAGCTCTACAGTGACGTGTTGTTTTGTGTGGGGTTAAGTGTGTGATTTCTCAGGGTAAACTTTTTCGAGATATATGCCCTTTTGTCCGAACAGCCCGAGAAAGGCCCTGCGGACGCCGGAAAGCCCATCCAAGGTGGACATCTGCATCCATCAGGGGTGTATTTCGAACCTGGACTACGTACCAATACAGTGACTTTGTAGGGCTCCTTATTGTGAGCATATGATCGTATACCCTGTTCTAGGCCAGTAAGGCCCCTATACTGCACCCTTATTACAGTATGTATAGTAACC